TGGTTATTGAGGTCATCGCCTGGCGTCGCATGATGCATAAGAAGGTGGCGACCGTGAAACGCTAACTGTAGGACATTTACAGTAAAGCCTCCTGAAGTAGTATAGTTACTACCTTCTGCAGGTGGACTATTATGGTCAAGCAACAACTGATTTTCAACAGCGTCAAGCTGATACGCAATCGTAAGAAATTGGGATGGGATTGTCTTTTATGTTTTTTCTTGATTCGGTGCTGTCCCAGTAATTTAGTTTAGACCAGCGAAGTGGTGACTTGACAGTTTAAATCGGTACCAATTTTTGCAACAACAACAATAAAATCAATCGCAAAGGACTCTTGGAGCTGGCGCGCACGAAAGGTATGTTATCTGGGATTGTTTGTTTGCAGGCAAGGGTGTTTTGAATCCTGGTTGGTCTTGTCCCGTTGTTTGGCCCTGATGATGGGGGCGGTGCTTGCATGTGGGATTTGTCATCTAGGATTGGTTTATGTGTGTTTCTCCCTGTTTTGTTGTATCTGGCTGTTCCCTTCCTCTTTTCTTTGCCTCTTTGCCTTTTGGCTGTGTGCAAGTGGGTCAATATGACACACGGGAGTGGGGGCAGCCGCCGCTCAACCTACATCCACGTGGGCGGCCTTGTACGCAAGAGGTTTTGAACAGGGGGAGTTTAAGGAAGAAGATAAAAAATGATTTCACTTTTCTGTTTTTTTATATTTTTTTCGCTTTTGCGCTCTGATATCCTGTGACAATATATATATATATATATCCTCTTCTCCCTCCCTCTCTGCCTAGGGTTTACCGTCGGCAGCTCTGCTTGACGATACATATATATATCATATATATCGTCACAAACAGAACTGCCCGGTAAACCGTAGGCAGAGAGAGAGAAGAGGACAACAAACGAGGGGCTGTGACAAACTGTATATATATATACCACCAGGCAGTTCGGTGAAACTCCGACGAAACAGTTTGCCACAGCCCCCCCCTCGTTTGTTGTCCTCTCTTCTCCCTCCCTCTCTGCCTACGGTTTACCGGGCAGCTCTGTTTGACTATATACCAGCCGCCGCACAACCTACATCCACGTGGGCGGCCTTGTACGCAAGAGGTTCTGAACAGGGGGAGTTGTAAGAAAGAAGATTAAAAATTGAATTCAATTTTCTTTTCTTCTTTTTTTCCTTTTTTTCCGCATTTGCGCTCTGATATTTTGTGACAATATATATATATTGTCACAAAAGTATCAGAGCGCATATATATCGTCAAACAGAGCTGCCGACGGTAAACCGTAGGCAGAGAGGGACAAGAGGGAGAAGAGAGGACAAAAAACGACGGGATGTGACAAACTGTTTCGTCGGAGTTTCACCGACTCATCATATGTATATATATTGTCACACTGTAAAGCACGTAAGCATGCAAGGGAGAGATGAATAACGGGTTGGGAGGGAGGGGGTGAATTAGGGAGGAAGAGAGGGGAGGGGGGGGGGGGGGGGGGGGGGGGGGGGGGGGGGGGAGGGGGGGGGGGGGGGGGGNCCCTCCCTAACCCAACTGTACACCCATCTGATTTCGCCAGGATTCGAACTTGCAATCTGTTCTCTAAACTACAAGTTACACTTGCGTGCCATTCCGCCACACACGCCCAGATACACTAAGTGTGCCATTTTCTTTTTTTCTTGTGTGCTCTTTTCTTTTTTCTTGTTTTCTTGTGAAGGCCACAGTCCCCCCTAACCCGACTGTACACCCATCTGATTCCGCCAGGATTCGAACTTGCAATCTGTTCTCTAAACTAAAAATTCCACTTGTGTGCCATTCCACCACACAAGCCCGGATACACTAAGTGGCCTCTGTTTCCGTCCGACCTCCTCGTAAACTCCCCACCCTGGACAGATTCGAGAGTCGCTTTTACCCATCTGGTCCCATCCGGTCCCATCTGATCTGGTCCCATCTGATCTGGTCCCATCTGATCTGGTCCCATCTGGTCCCATCTGGTCCCATCGGGTCCCAATCAAGGTTCGAAGCACTGATCCGATTACTAACATGCGGCTACCATTCAACAGCTTTCAGCTCCATGGGCTCGGCTCGATAATGAGCGGCCTTCTGCTTGTGCCATTTCTCTCTTTCTCGTGTGAAGGGCATATAGTCCCCCCTAACATGACTCTACACCCATCTGATTTCCTCAGGATTTGAACTTGCAACCTGTTCTCTAACAGCCACATGAGCCTGGGTACACTAAGTGGCCTCTGTTTCCTTCCTCCCTCCCTCCTCGTAGACTCCCCACACTGGACAGATTCAAGAGTCGCTCTTACCCATCTGGTCCCATCTGGTCCCATCTGGTCCCAATCAGGGTTCAAACTCCCGATCTGTTCTTAGAACAGTTGGCATGCGCGTACCATTCAGCCCCATGTAACTTTTTCAGCCCCACGGACTCGATAATGAGTACCCTTCCGATTTCTGGGTTCATAATAGACTTTTTAGACCCTTGGGGGGGTTGGAGACCCATTTCATAAATTTCCACCCTGTTGTCGACAGATTTTTCGAAGAGTGCTTCAGCAATTTCTTCCGTTCACAGAAGTAGACCACCCACTTCATGCCATAGCTCGCATAACAGCGATCACGCCATTCGCCGAGGCGACACAGGCCTGCCCGCGATTAATGGTGATGTAACAGAGAGCTCGTAGGTGTGCGATGGGTGCCGTCACACAGACCTTCTTTCTTCGGCATATTGCTGCGTATAGGTCACACTATCACAGAACTGCTGACTGTGGCACGGTGTGTGACACAAAATCACATGCTAGACAGAGTGCGACCCAGCTCATCAGTGATACTAAGTCGCACACTCCGTCAGCAGGATTGATGCCAGTGTCATCTATGAGCTGTGTCACACACTGCTGCCCATAGGTGACGACACTACCACCACAGCCCTGCTGACTGCAACAGAGTGTGTCACACTCTTTCAGATGTATGACACTGCTGTTCATATAGGTGACACTGTCACCGCACCCGCTGACTGAGACAGTGTGTGACACAGCTCATTCCGGTAAACAGTGTATGGCAGAGTGTGACACTATTCACATGTGAGACACAGTGTATGACACTATCACATGTGACACAAGAGTGTGTGATGCTGCTGTCACAGACCTGCCGATGATGCATCATCAACTTCAACCTGTACACCGACGAATCTCAGAGTCCATAACTGGCTGGCTGTTCCTTGATCCTCCAACCTCCCTGCTCCTTCTTCCTTGTTGCTTGCGTGGTCCTTTTGCGACTGTGTCCTCGCACACAGATCACACCAATTACATGCACCTGCGCGACCAGAAAGCGTCCACCTACAGGCACAACCGGCCAGCCAAGAGAACGAACCTGGCACATATACGCTGCTCTATTCGTCAACCCGCCAGCCCGCTGGTACGAACCTCCTTTCACCTGCTGCTCCCTCGTCGTAAGAGGCACATATCGGACCTCCATAGCTGTGTGTTCCTTGACTGTCCCATCTGGCAGCTTGTCAATTATCTTCAGATCCTGAAAGAATTTACCGACCGGTACGACGAGCCGCCCATTGGGCTTTAGCTGACTGATGAGCGCATCGGGAGTGGCGGGAGCAGCTGCCCCGACGTGGATGGCGTCGTACGGAGCTTCTTCTGGCCAACCCTGCCGCCCATCTCCTGCATGGAGCGAGAGAACCCCGCTCTCCAAGAACGGCGCCGCTTTGCTCCGCTTCACGTCCCGGATGCTGCGTTCGACCAATTCTGCATGCATGCATGCATGCACACATGCGTGGACAGACGGTGTCAGAGTTCCTTTGTCCTTTGCTTTTTGTGATTTTTTTTTTCGCCGTTGTTTTCGTATGTGCAGCAGAGGCTCTGCGAATCTTCTCTGTATGTATATCATTAACCCGCCCCAGGTAATTCAGAATTACATAATTCTGTTCATCTGGTTGCATCTGGATTCGAACTTGGGTCTGATTCATATTTCAACACTTCCTTACGTGTACCAACAGAGCGAGGCCCGTTCCAATTTAAACAGTTATGTGGAAGGACAGTGCCAAATTTTCAGTCAAACACAATAACAAAAAAAAAAAAAAGAAAAAAAAAAAGACCGACGAGTCGTGATGACACAGATAGCCAATTTTGAGGCCGGCTGAGGTGCTATTATCACCCCACCTGG